GCGCGATCCTGCACACAAACAAATCCTGCTGGAGAGCCTCAGACAGCAGCAGCAGCAGACATGAACTGTGACCTGTCCAAGTCAGCCTGGCACCACACCAGGTCTTGAGAGGCCAAAACTCTCTATAGCTGAACTGAACTGAACTGAACCGAAACTAGACTGTGCCAATTCATGCCAGACTGTGCCTTCTGAGAGAATTTGCACTTCCTTTCTGATTTCAGTGGAGAGGGAGGGAGGGGCGGGGGGGGGGACACTTGTTGAAACCAGCGCCTTCTTTCACCTGTACTGTATATTTGTCATTGTCATAGAGGTGGACTTTATTTTCACGTTAACCATTTCAGCCCTTAGAGCACAGCTACCAAACCTTCCACTCATGTCTAGGTGTAGAATGAGGTCGCACGATGATGATGATGCAACTGCAGACAGAACTGAGGAATGTGATTGAAAACGTTTTGTTGCTCATTCTTGCAGAGATGAACAGCACAGAGAATGACAGCAGACTTCAAAAATCCCGAAGTTTAGACAGTTGGCAGTGTTTTTCCACACAAAAGAAATCGACAGAAAACTGGACACTTTCTCTATCAGAGTATCACATTCTGACAGGAGTTGTTCAGGAGCTGTAGTGATTACCATTAATCTGTTTGGAGCGCCATTTGTTTACTCCGTTTCTTTATTTAAGATTCATTGAAAAGGGATTACAATGTAAAACAGCCAAACTCATTAAGGTTTGGATTCTCACCCAATCAAAACCCAGTGTTTCTGTTTTTCATTTTCTGATCGCTGTCTAAATAAGTTACAGTATTAAATTAAATTAAACAAATTTATTCGGTTAGAGGAATCCTCTGCAACCTTCAACAATATGAGCTACATTTTTTTTTTTTTTTTACTTTTACCTGGATAATCAAATTCATTCAGTGGTGCATAACTGTTTTAAACATTTAAATGAAGAGGATGTTGTAGTGTAAAGAGTTTGAAATACTTCAGTCAAATTACAGAATCATTTAGAGGTAAACAAACAACGACACAGCGCGAAAAGCAAAGGTCAGAATTTAATGTCAGAAGGGTCAAAGGGATCCAAATTTTGTTGTTTTTTTTTTTTATATATCAAAAATTATGGTGTAACAATATTTCCGCAGCCTGTATGACAGTACTGGCTATCTACTAGCCATATATATGTCAAAGTGAAAGTGAAAATGAAAGTGATTTATAGTTATTGTGACACAGAACACCACTGCACACAAAATGTGACCTCTGCCCTCTAAGCCATCACACCTTAATATTCATATAGAGCCACACGTTGCAGACCCATTGGGGGGGGATATGTTGTAATTTAAACTCTTTAACGTTCACTAGTCCTGGTGGTTACATTCACAAGTGATTTTTCTGATAAATGAGTCTAGATTTAGTTTTTAGGATTTCTTAAGCCATGGTGTCATTATTGTCTGTGAAAACGTGTTTTTTTTGTTTGTTGTTGTTTGTTTGTTTGTTTTTTGTTAATTTACCCTTTTCTACAGATTGTATTTGGCTGTTGTTGTTGTTTTAAGTGTTTAGTTGTTTATTCGTAGTGTTCACACAGAATGCGGGGTCACTTTTCAACGTACATTCAAACACATTTACTTTGCGGGCAGGTGGTATGAGGGCTCATGAGGGTTCCCTGACTGTCCAGCAGGTGGTGCTGCTAAACCTCCTTAGTGAAAGCTAACTGGAAACTGGGGGGAAAAAAATGTAAAACTACCCAGTACTTTTTGATGTGACTTTATGTTGCCGTACGTGAACTGTTAGCGTTTGTAAGTTGAATCCTGCCTTCACTGCTGTCTCTTATGCTGACACGACATTTACTTGGTTCAATTTAATAAAACTGACAACTATGTAAACTGTTGCTGAACTAGACACTTTGGGAGAGGAGACGGAGACGGAGGACGTCATTGCAGCAGCAACAGTTATTGAAAAGTGTGTTTTCAGGCACACACGCACTGTTGCGGGTTTTCTAATATTTTGTAATAGTGACAATAACCAGACTGTGGATCTGCTGTTAAATCTGATGGATTTTTTTGTACGTCTTTTTGGCCATTCAGTGTTTTCTGTGAGTGTGTGTGTGTGTGTGTCTGTGCATTAGTTTGTTTGTGGGCAAAGGGGTGTATAAAATGTTGGCTTTTGTTTCTTCTCACACTCCATTATGTTATCTTTACCGTCATGTATTCTCCTATTTTTGTGTGTTAACTTAATGCAAGTTTTTGAGAAAAAAAACAAAAAGTCTTTTTTTTTTTTCAATTAAAATTTAATAACTTTCCCTATTTTATACATATGTAAATGTTTTATTATCTGCCTTCTCCACTGCCAAATGAGTGTGGATCAATCGATAATGGGCTAACGTTTGACCCCTACACCAAAGAGAATGCGGTTATTTTATGATGTATGTAACACAAAAGTAATATTTATTTAGGATTCTAAAATTATTCACCAAAACCAGAAAAACAGCTCAAACCAAATTTGGCAGCCTACTTGACCCATTTTATTGTGCTACAACACAAACCAATAAAGGTTCTCAACACTGTAGTTAGCTTGACGTTAGCAAAAAATAAAAAAATAAATGCCCCGTTTAAAATGTTGACGTACCATATCAGTGGTCTTTAATAACTGTGTTTTTAGCCTATCAGAATCAGTATCAGCTTCATTGTCATACAAGTAAATTGAATATGGTGTATCTAAAAAATGTAATTAAGTAAAAGTATCTTTACTTTGCTTCAATTCTACTCAAGTAAAAGTACCTGTAGCAGCCCTTGACGTTTAGAAGAATCCCAATGGGGAGTTTCCGATGGGTGCACGTGTTGTATTCTTCTGAAATGTCTTCAAGCACAGTGAAAAATGAAGTCAATAAACATAAATATTCACTGCTCGTGTTAATGCTTAAATTGCGATGTTCAAATTCACCCGTTTAAGAATTTAACTTCAAAAGTAATATAACTGGAATCCTAAACGTTTACAACTCATATCATACATGGCGTCACGGTATAAACACATGTAACATTTTATACCTTGCCCCGCTTAACTAAGGAATGCGAACTTCTGCGACGGCTAGCAAACATGCGCGTTAACATGCAAATGTTCCCTGTCGCACTTACTTGCATGAGCGTGTTAAGTTCCACCGAGGTACAAAACTGAGGAGGAGCTCTTCTCAATATCTTCTGCGTGTTGATATATTTATCCTTGCCAATCTCCCGCTCTTTGTCACCGTAATGTCCGGTCCGGAACATTAATATCTAGCAATATTTCTGACCCCGTAACATGAATGAGGCTTTAATAACTGAGCCTTTAATAACCAAAACAGCTACTTGAGTAAAAGTAGATAATTGCTTACTGTAGTAGAGTAAAAGTTACGTAGTGTCATGATTTAAAACGGTAATGACCCAAATGCAGGCTCGGACGACGTTAAGTGAGAAACAAGGATTTATTTTCTAATTCAACGGGAATCACAAAGAACAATAGTTAATTGAAGTCAATCTGGACGTTAGCTACCACGGTGGCTGAACAAACGATCTGACGACGAGTGGGAGAAAAGCCAGGGTTTTTATGCCGTCAGAGTGATGAGTTGATTGACGGCAGGTGTGCTTCGGTGATGAACCAGGCAGAGTCAGGGAAATGTGCCACGCCCACTACACAGACAGAGACGAGTGCACAACACAAGAATGGGGAAAACAAAGGGAAACACAGGGAAACAATAATAACAATAACAATAAATTATTATTAATGTATTTTTTATTAATACATCTGATCTGCAACTAGTTGTTTTTAAACAATTCAAAGATTGCATGACCAATCGCTATCGCTGTCCGTCCAGAGCTCATAGTCTGGGCTACAACAACCCAGAAGTTAGTCTGTAATTCATCATTGAATCATGGTTTAATAATTGAATTCGACGCCAATGCAATTTTCTTTCAGTTGATGTAGATTTTTTTTTTCCCCCACATTTATTTTTTTTTACTTTTTTACTAACAGGTTATATTCAAATGGAGCAGAGTAAAATACTTGAGTCAAAGTGCACTAAAGTAAAACGTAAAATAACCTATACCCATAACTACTTAAAAATGACAAGTTACGCCCCAAAACGACTCAGTTACGGTAACAGGAGTAAACGTAATTCGGCACTTTCCACCTTTGTCGAAAAGTAAGAACGTCAAAGAGAGTCTTTACGAAACGTAAACGTTCAAAGCCAAATGTTTTACTAACACGTATTAGAACTTTTTGACCTATCGTGTATTACTATGTAACTGTGTACGTGTGTGCTTACTACAGTACAGTGGTGTTCTCAGTGTCCATCGAACCTTAACGTGACGCACGACAACACACACAAAAAAAACCAACAACGTTGCACACGGGAGACTGTGATTCAGTAATGCAGATTTATTAGAATATTCAGAGTAGTGCTGTAAGTCCTCGTCCACTCCGGCCTCTGTCCTCTCACAGTGTACACGGACACGTCGGTCTGGGGGGGACAGAGACTCATGCAGTGACACGAGCCTGTAGAGCAAATCAACAAAAGCCTAATGCCTATCATTTATATTACTAATTACAGAATTTACACGGACAGAACTTCCATTGAGCACTTCGAAGAAATAGCTTTGTTTCTCACAGATATAATAAAATAAAAAATATTAATAAATACATGTTGTTGTTTTTTTTTGTTTTTTTTGCCTCTTGAATAGATTTCTAGAGTTAAAACAGTCAGCTGTGGATTCATTTTTTTTTTTTTTGTTTTTTTTTTTTTGACTCCCGCAGTAGAATGCAACACGGTGTTCCACGAGCAGCTTCACCTCAGGATGGGAGAAGAGATTTGATAAATACGCAGAGGAAAAAGGTGTGGTTCTGCTTGTGTCCTGGTCGTGACGAACGTTTGTTTTTATATCTGTCTGCTGCAGGATACTTGTTGTGACGAACGTTTGTTTTATATCTGTCTGCTGCAGGATACTTAAGAAAGGCGGAAGTGGAAGTGATGGAGTAGACCACCCACATTACTGTAAGGGTCGCAGGAATAGAATGACACCAACTCAACTCTCAGTTCTTTGTACAAACCGATGACGGCCTCCTTTTCCGGGTCTCTTCATCTCAGTATCATCCGACATTTTCTGCACCACGTATCGGTTTCATTTAAAAAACAAAAAAAAAAACAAAACAAACAAAAAAAAACTGTAACCTGATCAAGTGCAGAAACGGGGGCTGAGCAAAAGTGATCGTTTTAAAGAGTGATAAAATACCATGCAGACAATTTTATTTGAAAAATTTTTCAACTTTTTACTACTTCTACCTTGTGGCCCAGTACCAAATGATTTACGACCCAGTACTGGCACCTAGCCCGGTGATGGCTCTATATCAGTGGTTCTCTGTTATTTTCTGTCATGTGCTCCCCTTTGGGGACCCCCTCGAATTAAATACTATTGAGAACCTGATAACATGTATATTTTTTATCTGTACAAGCCCCTGTGTGAGTTGCTGCCCCCTAGTGACTGGAGGCTTGTTATCATTCAAGCAAAAAAAAAAGTCCTCATTGTTTATAGAGCCTGGAATTAGGCTCAGACTTTGGAATGATGGTAGTGAGTGTCAAGACTTGTAGAGAGGAGGAGGAGGAGGAGGAGGATCATATTGAAGAAGGTCTGAACCCAAGTCTGGACCCGTCGTCTTTAATTGGACTTCTTGGTTTTTCCTGTTTTGCTCGACGAACAGAATTAACAGGGTTCCTGATTGTGAGTGTGTGTGTGTGTCCGGAAGTTGTGCTAATGGATGAAAGAACGTCTTTTTTTGTGGTATGCACATAAAACCTAAGCTGTTTGTTTGAGTGTGGATTTCCAAGTGCTCAGGGCAGAGGACGCGATGATATGCAAGACACAGACAGAGGACAGCGTGTTTCTATGCGGTGTATGACTCACGGATGTGTGTTGTTGTTGTTTGTTTGGTTGGTTTTTTTTTTTGTTTTGTTTTTTTTAAATGAAGGAAAAAACACACACACACACGGACAAACGTGTTCTCTGTTCGACTTTGTAAGAGTGACCTCTGGTCCATGTCCGGGTAGTGTATATGTCAGGCGTAATGTGCACAGTTGCATAATAGGTTGAAAGGACAGAAGGACAGAGGGCTTGTGTCCAACTGTTGACTGCCTTGTGTGTGTGTGTGTGTGTGTGTGTGTGTTTTGAATGACGTCGCCAGGATGTTTCCCTCAGAAGTATCCAAGGCTGAAGTTACGGCGTAGTAGACCACCGCTCTCACTGAAGCTCACTTCCCTCTGTTCCGGTCGACCGATTCCTGTCCACTCGTCTCGTCCTTTTCGCTGCGTCTGTGCTTCAAAACAGATTTGTCTTGATGGCCGGGTTGGGTTTTCTGTGGAAGGAGGACAGAACTCCAGCAAAAGGCCCGGTCATACTGTCCGCCGGCTGCCAGGCCTTCAGGATCTCCTGAGTCTGGGCAGCGGGCTGGGCCACGGCGGGGTTGGACGGCCCCAGGCTGGACCAGCTGGGCGGCTTTAGGCCCTGCAGGACCGGGGAGCTTGAGGCGTTGACGTAGCTGTTGGCGGGCACCGGACTCGGGCTCAGGCTGGCCGGGCTGCCCAGGTTTCCGTTGGCCGAGCCGGGCAGGGAGGCGGTGCTGTCGGGTGTAGGGCTGCAGGTAGATTCTTTGGACTCGTCATCGTCTGATGAGGATCTGGTCTCTCCACCTTTCTTCCCGCCAGAGCTGCTGCCGGTGGTGCTGCTGCCCGTGGCGCCACCAGAGCTGTTGGCTTTGGCGTTGGCTGCGCGCTCCTGTTTACGGAACTTGGCACGTCTGTTCTGAAACCACACCTGTTCAACACAGACAGAGGGTTGATGCATTAGAAAAGAGACAGCTTTTTTTTTTAAACAAACCTTATCTCCTCAGCAGAAGAATCTAGAATCCTGTTCCCCTCACCTGGACACGGGCCTCGGTCAAATCTATCTTCAGGGCCAGCTCCTCCCGGGTGTAAATGTCCGGGTAGTGAGTCTCTGCGAACACCCGCTCCAGCTCCTTCAGCTGAGAGCTGGTGAAGGTTGTTCTGATGCGACGCTGCTTCCGCTTCTCGTTCAGGCCCGAGGGGTCCGAGAAAAACTTGTAAGGAACTAAGAAAAAAATAAATAATAAATTCAGTGACGGTTATAAGGTCATAATAAATTTTAAAAGAATTCATTTTTAGGTAAAAAAAAACAAACAAACAAAAAAGCGCAAAGGCCGTGCGTAAGAAGCGCGTAGACGCCTTTTGTTTTCCTTGTAGTGACGTCACGTAATTATAACAGTTTTCACACGGTGCTAATTAAAGTTGTAACATTCAGAATTCACCGGTTTTATCATTTGAATTTCAAAGGAAACATCGCGAGATGTGAAATCCAGACGCAGGGAGTTGTTTTTGTTTTGTTTTTTATTTTGCTATTTTTATTTCGAAAAGTATGATTATACTAACAAAAATTTTAAAAAAATATTTACAAATAGCTACAATATTATAATACTAATTTGCATGATATTATTTAAATTTATATATTTTTGCAGTAAAATTTAGGGCTTCATTTCAGATTGACGTAATGTTAAATGTTAAAGTTAACTTTCATTTTAAAAGCACTAAATCTTGAGAGATTTCAAACGTACATTTCCAAAAAGAAAATAATAACGTTTATATCCAAAATTATTTTTGTTTTCGTCAAATAATAATACAGAAAAAGAACCAGAAAAAGAGACTGAATGAACAAACGAATTAAGATTGATAATGATGATAATTATTATTATTATTATTAGCGTAATAAAATGTCAATTAATACTTTAGATTTCTATAATGACAAATGTATGTTTTATTATTATTATTATTGTAATTATTAACATTAATCGGGTACATTCACTTGGCATTTCATACAGAATTAAGTCAATAAACTAATGTAAAACACTAACTAAATCTATTTAAACCATTTAATAGACTTGAATTTCCACGGGATATTTTTTTTTTTTAAACTTATCTCCCGGTCCCTGTACCTGAGGAGTAGGGAGTCGGTTGGTGCTCCCTCAGGGCCCCTAGTGTACAGCTGGCCGTGCTGAGCGGAGCGCAGCCCGGATTGGAGAAGGGTCCGCTCCGGATCGGGTTGTACTGGAAAGAGCTGGCCTGGCTGCAGGAGCTGAAGTCCGCGTAGGCCGACGCTTCCATGGCCGCCATGCAGGAGTCGTAGGAGTTCAGGTAGGAGTAATCCATCTTATACATGGAGGAGAGCCGGTGCGAACACCGCCGTGTAGACAACCAGCAGGTAGGGTAGGAGCGAGTCGGTGAGGTCTCAGGGAGGGAGGAGAGGACGCCGAGCTGCGGTTCTTCTGCGTCTCCACGAGTCTGTTCCAGCCGTGCGTACAAAAAAAAAAAAAAGGTCTCCAAAAAATTTCACAGCAAATAATCCCGACCTTATTTTTCCTCTATACTTTCTCCTCTTCCTCTCTCTCTGTGTGTCTGGACTGCCCTGCTCCTCCTCTTGCTGTAACTCCTTTGGACTGTGCTCCTCCTGCCCTCTCTCTCTGTCTCTCTCTCTCTTTCTCTCTCTCTCTATCTGTCCCGTTGTTCCGTGTGACAGCGCGCTGCGCCTCCTGCACTGTTTATAATAAACTTGGCAGAGCGAAAGACAATAGCGAGGCGGTGGTCTGGACTTTCCATGACAATGCTGTGCCAGTGAGGGAGCGTGGACAAGGACAGCCCACCGCCCCCGCCCCCGCCCGCCCCAACTCCGATCAACCAACCACCACACAACCCAACCGAGGCTGCACCAACTGTACCCGCCCACCCACTTTAGACACATCGCGCAGGTGTCACTTAAATGATCAGATTTAACGAAATAGATTTTTAAAAAGATATATATATAATTGTTGCGACATAAACATGAGGGAAAACACGGTGTCGCTGTTCAACCTATCCTCATTTATTCACCCAAAACACGCGTCACTGTCGTTCTGGTGAATTTTGGAGCATTTTTTTAAGACACATTGTCATCTTCTCAGGGCTGTAGTTTAGGATTATTTAGTTAGGATTATTAATATTTACCTGATTTTTAAAATTGCCCGCAAATCACTATGATGCCTTTTCCACAGACCAAAGACATAAAAGTAAAAAAAATAGATTTTTTTTTGTTACAGTCAATTCCCTGCTAAAAGTATTTGATTTAGTGTTTCAAATCCATTCCGACTATTTATTTTAGTTATGTTGTATTTATATCCTCGGTAAGACCGTTTAAAAATTAAATCATCATTACGAAATCAATTTAGGAAACTCAACAGCCTGACTGTTGGATAAATGAGACACAAACATTTTGTTCACAAATGTCCCCACATAAGAACATATATATTTTGCCATCTTTTAGGTCAATTTCTGGCATATATTTCGCGATTAATCAGCCCAAATACGGTGTAAAATTATCCTACTGTGCAGTCGTCAAAATTTAGCCCCACGTTTAACATAGTATTGTCTCAGAAAAAAAAACGTTGTACATAAAGTTGGGACACTTTAACATAAGATTACACACCGACAGGAGTCAATAAATAATAATAATAACTGTCTAATATTAGATGTTGCGCCTCCAAAATACGAAAATTGGACTTAAACCATCGTGTGTTTAGGTTCCGCATCAGGCGTTATCTCGGTTACAGATAGCGCTGCATACATAAGGGCCCAAAATACAACACAACATAAAAAAAAAACCGTGTGCGTAAACGGTGTGTTTTTGGCGGGACGACTGTTGTGCCGGAAACAAACAGCTGCGGCCGCACACGAGTCTTTACGTGGCAGCAAACGTCCAGATGTGACGGTGATTGGTGAGATTAAAAGCTGTGATTCGATTCCGATCACTTTTAGGGAGATGTCACTGTGGTGAGCGTCAGGTTGATGTATAGGGAGCGAGGAGGGAAGAGGAAAGAGGAGAGCCGCGGAGAGGAGAGGACTGGAAACGCACTGACGCCACATAAATTGGTTTAAGTTTATTGTTCGGTGTCATACAATGTGATAAGTCATATCCCACATGGCCTTACACACACACACACACATTCTCTCTCTCTCTTTCTCTCTCTCTCTCTCGCTTTCATACACACATCTTCACAGTTCCAGCGTGTGTCCCCGCGTTTTCCCGCCTCCCCTCGTGAAATTAACAGCCTTTTTATTAGTCGATACATTTCGGCAGAATAATACAATCCACAAACCAAAATTACGTTGCGCGTGAAATTAATCGAGTTCTGGGTGCGTGCGCGCGCATGTAAGGCTCCATGGTGCGCGCTCTTAACCGGGCTTGACCAGAGGCTGCACGGGTCTGCTGTAAAATGACATTACACACACGTGCGAGCATGCGTGCACGCGCCTGTCGTTCTGAGGTGTTTTTTTTCTTCTTCTGAGGAACACAAAGGATAATCAAAGGGATTTTTTCGACTAATAATCGGACTGAAAACAAACACAGACGAGTTTGTAGTTATATAATAATAACAATAAAAAAAACCCATCTATTGTTGGTGTATCTGTAAGTCTTTCTTAAAGTAGGGCCTTTAGTCGCAGACAGCAGACAGGTCATTAATTATTTTTGTTTTTTTGTTGAGCAATTACACATTTACATTAACATAAATCATTTATCATACAAAAATATACAACAAAAATTGACTAAGCACTATTGCGTCACAAATTTTATGGGATACGTTTTGTTTCCGATTTTTTTTTTTTTTTTTTTTTTTTTTTCCAATTTTAAGATAAATTTAATTTGAAATGTTTCCCGCGTCATTATGGTAACGGAAGCCACACATTTGGTTCACAGTTGAAAACATTACCTTATTGCTAATGGTCTTTGTGTCTGTATGGAAAGTAACGACTGTCTCAATAATAATGTTAAACTAGCATTATTATGGAAAAAATTAAGATAAAAATATATTGGAAAATATGTGAGGTATAAGAATAGAGTCGATAGTCAATCTTTTTAAAAAAATGAACATTTCATTTAAAGAAATTCACATTTTCCGTTCGGAGTCATGATTCCCCTTCACAGGGTTCAGAGGTGAGTTTGCCCAGAAACTTAAACAGTTTCAAGTTAAACTTCTGGTTCCTCAAAAAAAAAAAAAAAAAAGAGCAGCCGCAGCCGCATCAGCATTACGATGCTGCGGCAGCGACCCTAGCTCTCTCTCTCTCCCTCTCTCCCTTTCCCATTTAAACCCCATTTAAAGTCTAATCCCTTCAAAGAGCAGAGCGGTCTCTTCCAGGCCGTTAATCCAGCCATAGTGCTGCTGCTCAGGGGGAGACCTCTCCTCTGCTGAGGCTTTAACTTTGGACTTTTACATTCATGACGGAAACAGTAACGGAGAGCTTTGGCATTCATGACGTCTGAGTCAACAGAGGGAGACACAATGGTCCCCCAGAGGCTTCTGAGGGCCCCTGAGAGAGAGAGGGAGAAGGAGAGAGAGGGAGAGAGAGAGAGAGAGAGCGAGCCCCGGCCGTGAGGGATTATAGTAGGCCCGTTCACACGGAGGTTCTGAATTATTATAGGAAAACTGATGAGTTATCGCCATAATTGACCACTGAACTGAAATACAATCTGAGTGCTTTTGTCACGGTTATCTACAATGACGATTCTCCGATGACAACACGTGGTCATATGATTAATTAACCCCGATTTTATTAAGATTATAAATGATTTTGGGAGCGATACGAAAAATAATTTAAAAAAAAAATCTTTTAACTATCCTAATGCATTGTTTTTTATCGCCTGCATCGCGATAGAACGGCCTTAACGGTTATTTCTGATTCTCCACCGGAAATAGGAAAGGCTAAAGCCCGCGAAGGTGCTTCGCGGGCTTATATGTCCATCAGATATAGAGTCCACACTGTGGACATCTGATGGATTGATGGATGGGTGGGTGGCGTTGATGCAGAGAAGGTGGTGTATTTGTACCTTCGGACAGAAGACATGTGGGTAAGGGATGGTCAAAAGATGGGACACAGGTCTAAAGAAAAGCCAGGCGGGAGGTCCAGTCCCAGGTCCCAGTCCTAATCCCAGTCCCTGTCCTGGTGTCTGTATGCTGGCACACTGGTGGTGGTCTGTATCCTGTCAGTCACGGGGCCTGGGAGAACAGCGATCCATCAAGAAAGCTGGGAGAAGGAATGAGTGTCGGGCTCTGGCTGGTTATCGATCCTACCGGGTCTGGGTGGAAGTGTGCTCTTTGTTAATTGAACAAACACGCGTCGCGTTTATACAGTTACCAAGTCAGTGTTCACATAAACACATACGGAGGCCGTAAACACAGCGGTAGACACAGGCCGGAAGTCTCGAAACAGTGATTTACGACAGAAAAAAATGAATGACGTTTCCACTGAGTCATTTTATCTGACGCGTTGTTGAACGCGGGGGGAAAAAAACTGTGCCGTTGTTGCTGTTTTACACTTTTAAATGTTGTTTCTATTATTGCCATGGGGTTTCACGGACGGTTACTCCATTACATTACATTTTATATAAATATGAATATTAAATTATTAGTCTGACAGAATTCGCTTTGCTCCTTGTAAACACAGCCTTGTTTTGTTTTGTTTTTTCATTGTGTTTATATTTACTGTGACCATAAATGTTACGAATAGATGCCCAAATTGACCGTTAAGAATACTTTTAAACGTGTTTCTGTGATATTTGGACGGATGTGACGCCCTGTTCTCCCCTGAGGCCTCCACCTTCACTTCTGCTGACTGTACCGTCACCGAAACGTGTCGTGTCATCGTTCCTTTCATGCCTTCCTCCTGTCCGAGGTGCGTTTGAGTGCGCATTAAATAAATCAAAAATCACACATGCTGCCGTTAACATCCACCCCCCTCTTTCTCTCTACTACTACTCTTTTCTTCTCTCTCTCCCCCTTTCTCCTCTCCTCTCCACAGCATACAGCTCCTGTGCGTTTGATTTAACCGATGATGGATGAGAAGACGGGGTAGGTAGGAGCGCAAGAGGGGAAGACGAAGGGGAGAAGGAGGAGGGTAGTGGTGTTTCTAGGCCCGGGGGGTGAAGGGGAGGGGGTCGGTTCGCCCGGTCCCGCATTTCAATCTCCAATTACGGGAATGTGCGGTGATGCTGCGGAGCTCGTCTGAGCAGAAGCCACGCTGTTCAGCATTTGAATCAGGTCCAAACCTGATCATAATAAAACTAGTCCTGACTGAGAGTGGTGCCCTGTGTATCAACAGTCAGGTCCCTGTCAGTGATTTCAGTGAAAGTGTATGGGGCTAAAAATTCAGGGGTGTCAAACTCATTTTGGTTCACGGGCCACATACAATCAAATTAGAAGTGGGCCCGACCACTACCATCATAACCTAATTAACTATAAAGAACACGCGCGCCGTGATTGCCCCCCCTTTTCATGCTAGGAAGTACATTAGATATGTATTTGTATTGATTCATATTTAATGAAATATATATTCAAAAAATATATTGACTAGAAAGTGTGTATTTTTTTAATATTCAAAATTCATCGAGTGGGCCGGATTAAACACCCTAGCGGACCGGGTTTG